TTGCTGTTGCTTTTGAGGAGTCATAAATTCTTTCCCAAGGCTGACGTCCAGAATGGTGTTTCCTAGGCTTTCTTCTAGAATTGTTATAGTTCGAGGTCTTACACTTAAATATTTAATCCATCTTGAGTTCAATTTTGTATGTGGTGAGAGGTAAGGGTCCAGTTTCATTCTTCTGCATATGGCTAGCTAGCTATCCCGGCACTATTTATTGAATAGGTACTTTTCCCACTGCTTATTTTTCTCAACTTTGTAACATTATGTCTGGGTTTTCTATTCTGTTCCATTGGTCTATGTGTCTGTTTTTGTATTAGTGTCATGCTGTTTTGGCTCCTGTAGCCTTATAGTATAGTTTGAAGTCAGGTAATGTGATGCTTCTGACTCTATTCTTTTTGCTTTAGGATTGCTTTGTCTGTTTGCATTCTTTTTTGGTTCACATGAAAAATACAACAATTAGCCGGCCATGGTGGCAGACACTTGTAATCCTAGCTACTCTGGAGGCTGAGGCAGAAGTGCTTGAGCCTGGGAGGTGGAGGTTACAATGAGCTGAGATCGCACCATTGCACTCCAGCCTGGGCAACAGAGCGAGACTCTGTCTCAAAAAAACAAAACAAAACAAAACAAAACAAAACAAAAAACCCTGCTTATTGTAAGTTTTCATTTATGTGAAAACTCATCCACACCAGTAGAAGTCAGGACAATGTTTATCCTTGCAGGGCATAGGGATAATAACCAGCAGGGGCATGAAAGGGTTTCTACATGCTGTTAATGTTCTTTTCTTTATTATTAATTTATTTAGACAGCATCTCACTCTGTCATCCAGGCTGGAGTGCAGTGGCATAATTACAGCTCACTGCAGCCTTGACCTCCTGGGCTCAAATGACTTTCCCACCTCAGCCTCCTAAGTAGCTGCAACTACAGGCATGCACCACCAAGCCCAGCTTATTTATTTTTATTTTTATTTTTTTGTAGAGACAGGGTTTCACCATGTTGCCTAGGCTGGTCTTGAACTCCTGGGCTCAAGTGATCTGCCTGCATCAGCCACCCAAAATGTTGAGATTACAGGCGTGAGCCACTGTGCCTGGCCAATGTTCTTTTTGATCTGGGAGCTGGTTATATGGTGCCGTCAATTTGTGGATATTTATCTAGTTTATCTACTTTTTTTGCATGTGTATTTCAAAACATTTTTTAAAAACATTCCTCTCCTGATGACTTGGACAAAATCTCAGCTTGGGTCGACTTAACTTGAATGCTTCTTTTAGATTGTCTCATCTTTCTTAACTTGGGGAGAGTTTACCAGCCTCAGAAGTTTCAGCAGGCAACAGTATCCAGCTCAAATCAAATAACATTGTTTTGTTTTCATTGTGTTTATTTTTATGGTTACCATCTATAGATGACCATCAATACTGCATTTCCATTTATGGTAGTGATACAAAGTTTCTTTTAAAAACGATCGTAAGCAAAAAAAAAAAAAAAAAGAGTGAATTGCCTTACTTTAAAAAAATTATTTAAATAATAGTACAGATGGTACCTAGTTACAGTAAACCATGTAAGGGTGGGGTTTATAAAACATGGTTGAGATGGAAAAAGGCAGGGATTAAGGGGAAGGGAGAAAACCAGTCTTAGCCTGTCCCCATCTCTCAGCCAGTCCTTACTGCTGGGCACAGACAGGCTCTGAAGCCTAAGGACATAACTTTGCAGAGGACTCATGAGAAATTTAAAGTGAAGAATGCTCCAGGACCAATGGGATGGGCAAAGCAAGAGACACGGAGCAGAGAACCTGGATTCACTCAACAAATATTCTTTGAGCATCTCTGTGCAGGCACTGTTCTAGCCCTGGGCCTACAGTAATAAGCAAAATGGTTAAGTTGTAGGCCAGCCAGTAACCAGCTCTGGGTCCTGGGCTGAGTCCCGCTACTTCTTTAGGCTTCAATGGATTGAGGATGCTCTGTGATTCAAGCCTCCGTAGCAGCTGGCCTGGCTCAGGAGAGGTTAGGAAAAGCCTTAAAAAGATGGGATTATTTTGTTATGTGTTTGTGTGTATTTAGGGTGGGGAAGGGTAAAATTGGCCATTAATCTGGGAACTAGGAGAAAAGAATTGGGTGTGGCCTTCAGGCTCATTAGAAAGTGAAATCTCATTGAGTACTTTGCATTTGTCAAGTCAGCATCACTTTGCCTGCTCATCTCCACTGCTCTTGGCTAAAAGATCAAGAACTTTAAAGGAGGTGGAAAGAGAATGAATCTCAAAAGGTAAGTGAGCAGCTGCATGTGAATGAATGAATGAATGAATGAATGCCAGCCACTCTTAGCCTCTTAATAGACTCATCACAGCCTTTCATCCCCAGCTCCTGGGCATTGCAATTAAGACAGAAAGAGAATGAGGGGCCCTGCCAGGAATATTTTGAGAGATTGTACTTTTCATTCACTCAACAAATATTTATTGAGTGCCTATCTGGTGCCAGGCAGTATTTAGAACTGTGGGCTGTCCAATTTGCTAGCTACCTGGCCACACACGGCTATCAATCATTTGAACTTTGGCTATTTCAAACTGAAATGTGCTGTATAGCATACACATTGGAACTTGAGGATTGAATATAAGAAAAGGAATGTTAACTCTCATTAATTTTAGTGTTGATTACACACTGAAATGATAGTAGTTTGGATATACCGCCAAATTAAGAATATTATTAAAATAAATATCACCTATTTCTTTTTACTATATTTTAATATGGCTACTAGAAATTTACAATTGCACATGTGCTCAAGTTTGCGGTTTGCAGTTGATTTCTATTGGACAGTGCTGTTCTAGACCCTGTCCCTACTCTGCAGGAGCTCAGTGGGTGGGGCCAACAGAAACATCTTACAAAGCAGGCAGGAGACACCAGGGAGAATGAAGCTGGAATGATCACGATCCTTCCTGTGTCTTTTTCATTTTTATTTTTTTTCAGATTGGTACTGTACATAGTGCTTTTTACTTTTTTACTTTGTTTTTTTTTTTTCAGATCGGCACTCTACATAGTGCTAATGATTTCCAGAAGTCCAGCTCTGTCCGTGTCTTCCTCTGCTCAAACATGGATGCTGTATCCTTACTGCCTAGCATATTAAGCCAAACCTCCATACAGTCAGCTGGATTTTCCTGCCTTCCTGCTGCTCTCTGCAAGCATCCTGCACTCTGGCTGAAGTGGACTGACTTTCTGATCCCCAGCCTCATTTTCCCATTTCTCTCTCTGTGTGCGTGTGCGTGTGCGTGTGCGTGTGTTTTGAAACTGATTCTCACTCTGTCGCCCAGGCTGGAGTGCAGTGGTGCGATATTGGCTCACTGCAACTTCCAGCTCTCAGTGATTCTCCTGCCTCAGCCTCCCAGGTTGCTGGGACTACAGGCGTGCATCACCATGCCCAGCTAATTTTTGTATTTTTAGTTGAGATGGGGTTTCACCATGTTGGCCACGGTTGGCTAGCTGGTCTTGAACTCCTGATCTCAAGTGATCCACCCGCCTCGGCCTCCCAAAGTGCTGGAATTACAGGTGTGAGCCACCGCGCCCGGCCCCATTTCTGTGTTTTTGCTTCAGGTGTTCCCTCTGCCTGTGCCCTTGCTAACGGTCCATTTCCTCTGGTAGAATTACAAGCTTCAATTTCAGTTCCCACTCACCCAAGAAACTCCCCTTTCCTCAACCACCACATCACCTCTCTACCAAAATATTTCTTTTATTCAAAGCCTCTGATAAACATTTATTTATTTATTTATTTATATTATCTTACCAAAGTCTTTCCCCGTAACTCTTCCCAGCTTAGTGTCTTAAGACTAGGAACTTGCCTTCCTGGAGGCATCTAGGTCACCTTCAGAGTCAGGTGGCCACTGGGTTAACTAGCTGTTGAATTGAATCAAACAGGCTCTGAGCCTTAAAGTTAGAAAGAGCCAGAGTGGAGGGGTCTGGTTGGGGAAGAGGGGCGCTGAGGTATAGGGAGATTAAACCTGCGGTGGAGGCAGCTTAATGGTTCATCTCTCACCCAGGGAATCTCTCTGACAGGGGTCTTTGTTAGGGTCACAACCCAGGAGATGGTTGATGATTATGGCTGAGTCCAGCCTGGAATGATGGGGGTTGGGGGCAGCTTGGGTAGATGACTCAGTAAATCAAACAGAACAATGAAAGGAGGTCATCCTTGTCCATCTGCATTATTGAAGACAGCCATAAATGGCCTTACCCCAGAGCGGGTCTCTCACACCTGGAGAGCTGATTGACCTCTCCAAGACCCCTGCAAATGGGTGTTCTGGGATCTGTCCTGCAACAAGTGCCTCGAGATTTGTAGGTGGGGGCCCAGGGTGCTAAGGGATTATTTCTGCAGGCGGAGAAGGGAGGGGGTCTGGGGCAGAGGAAGGGGGCAGGTTTTGCGGGGCATTGCACTTAGGGTTCTCATAGGTTGTAGTCACGAGCTCCCAGGTTTGCAAAACTGCAATAGTCACTAAGACCATTTGGGGCTGTTTGGGTCTAGTCTGGTCTAGACGGGTCTGAAACTCCGCAGGAACCACCCAACAAGAAGTCATTGTTCCAAGCCACGTGTCAGTGGCGGGTGATATCAAGGGATGGAAGGAGTTGGTGTGAGCCGACTGAAATCTACTGGAAGGTCAAAACGGTGCCGTATGTCCTTTGTGTTCACCAGCGGTTAGCCCAGTGCCGGCTACATGGGAAGTGCGCAAACGAAGTCCTCGCGAACTGAACTGAGAGCAGACAAAAGCACGCGCTCTTCTCCACCGCCACGCCGGTCCTATCCAAACCCGCGAGTTATCCGTATTCTTCTCCAGGAGTCAGAGTCAGGGCCAGAAGAGTGTGGAGGGACGTTGCCCGGGAAGAGTAGGCGACCCCCAGAGCCCGCAGCCAACGCTGGGGTGTGCGAGCGGGCGTGCGCGCACGCACTTGCCGGCGCGAGGGAGTGTCGGGGGGAAGGGAGTGGTCTTCAAAAGGGGGAGGGGAGAAGGCAGGGGGCGGGGAGAAGCCGGCCCTTTAGGACCCGGCTGCGGCGGCGAGGGAGGAGGAAGAAAAGGAGGAGGCGGCTCCCGCGCTCGCAGGGACGTGCCACCTGCCCGCCCGCTTGCTCGCCGCGCCGCACTGCCGACCGCCAGCATGCTGCCGAGAGTGGGCTGCCCTGCGCTGCCGCTGCCGCCGCCGCCGCTGCTGCCGCTGCTGCTGCTTCTGCTGGGCGCGAGTGGCGGCGGCGGCGGGGCGCACGCGGAGGTGCTGTTCCGCTGCCCTCCCTGCACACCCGAGCGCCTGGCCGCCTGCGGGCCCCCGCCGGTCGCGCCGCCGGCCGCGGTGGCCGCGGTGGCCGGAGGAGCCCGCATGCCATGCGCCGAGCTAGTCCGGGAGCCGGGCTGCGGCTGCTGCTCGGTGTGCGCCCGGCTGGAGGGCGAGGCGTGCGGCGTCTACACCCCGCGCTGCGGCCAGGGGCTGCGCTGCTATCCCCACCCGGGCTCCGAGCTGCCCCTGCAGGCGCTGGTTATGGGCGAGGGCACTTGTGAGAAGCGCCGGGACGCCGAGTATGGCGCCAGCCCGGAGCAGGTTGCAGGTAACGCCGGCTGGAGCAAGTAGTTGGGAGAAACTTGGAGGGCAGCGGGGAAGCCCGACGGGCGGCTGGACCTCACGGACTCTTTTAAGGGCGGCAGAGCGGAGACCTTGGACCAGATCAAGGGGGACTGTTGCGAGCGGGACCGGGAAGTCAGGCCCAGGGAGGGGAACTGGAGTTAGAGCAAGTGGAAGAGCCGTGGCGACTCATTTGGTGGGGATGAATGGGGAGAGGAAAGGCATCCCTGTTGCCATAGTCTTACCCGCGTGGAACGGACCCAGACTTCTATTCTGGAGGAGGGATTTGCTGAGAAGGGGGACGGTGGTCAGATCCATGGGAGTAGGAACTCGAATCTTATTTGGGGCACTACTTGAGGACCCAAGGGTCCTGGTGGGATCGCTGCTGGGAGGCCGAGGCTGCGGGGTGCCAGTGACGCCAGGAACCTTGGAAGAGGAGGTAAGCTAGGAGGAGGCACCGGCGTCCCCGGCGTCCCAAGTGACCCTTCCTTCAACTGGGGTTGTGAGTTAGAAAGAAAGGACTTGGTACTTTGTAGGATGGGTCGCTTAGGAGAAAAATGAAAACGAACACTACTGTTTCTCCCTAGGGAACGAGCAGGGCTCTTGCTACCACGTTGAATGGAAAAATAAAAGGGAGGCATTTGGTAGGCGAGGGGTCTCCTAGCAGCTGAATCAATGTAACTTAAGCCGGATCGCCAGCTGCATTCCCGGGACGGGGGCAGCCAGGCTGTGCAGTTTCGCATCTGGGCCCCAGATCGAAAGGCAAGAGAGATGCGTTGCCACCCCCCACCCCCGCCCGTATCCTAAATTGAGGGACCCCTTCCTGTAGGATAGAATGGGGACCCGATATTCTTTGTTCGGGGGCCCTCATCCCTCCCAAAAAGTTATTTGAGGGACACAACCAGTCTCTAAGGAGGTCACTTTTTTTTTTTTTTTTTTTTTTTTTAAATTACGAAAGCCTCTGCCCCAGTGGTCGGGAGGAAGCTGTAATTATTTTCTTTCCTCTTGGAGACAGTGGTGAAAAGTGTCCGCTGCCTGCTGCTGTTGCTGAAAAAGCAAGTGAGTCTAAGTTTATCAAACTTAAAAAGAAAAAGTGAAAACAAGAATCTTGCTTTTTAGCTTCTGAGGTCTTCGTAAGCCCCCCACCCCATGCACCAGCCCGCCTCCCTTCTCCTGGTCTGCTATTGTTTTTTCCCCTGTTCTCCTTGAGAATGGAATTAGGGGTCAGAGTTGAAATCTTTCTTCTGTTTCTTTAGCACATTTTGATCTGGAGTACAGAGCAAGTTAGGGCTTCCTCTGAGTGGAGCCTCTCAGTCCCTTTCTTCTTCCTCGGCTCGCTTCCTTCCCTAGCCTGCCTGCAAGTTAACCCTTCCCTCCTGCTTCTCTTAGAAAGTAACAATGAAAGGAAAAAGCCCCCACGAAATCCTTTCACTGCGGGGTGCCTGTCCCCTAGTCCTGCGTTCCTCCTCATCACCCCTTGTGGTCCACCGGGGAGGTGCTGTGCAGTTTCTGAGCTGAACTCTGACAAACTAAACATCTTCCTCAGCAGGGTGAACTTTTTGAAAGGCCTCTAAGTTCATAGGATGGTTCGGCTGCTGACGGTTTTAATAAAGTGTGTGATGCCTTTCCTTCTTTAACGTTTTACTTTTTTTTTTTCTTCTACTCTTCGTTCGTTTCACTCTAAGCCTGAAAACCAATTCTACTTCCCAAATCCCTGAAGCCGGTTAGGGTCTTTAGCCAGGAACAGATGCGGCAGATTTTCTCCCATTCACTTTTCCCTGGAGCCTGAAGGGGGTGGGGGGGAGTTGTCAGGGGAGGCCAGGGACAATGGGGTGAGTTCATGGGAAGAATGTCACTCTGGATTTTCTGCCTGGTTATGGGACTCCCTTCCGCCAGCTTGCCCCAGCTGCCTTCTCCTCCCCAGTGCCCAGACGCCTTCCGCATTTTTGTGCACCAGCCTGGGAAGAGGGGATGTTAAGCAGGGGTGGAAGGTGGGGGGCGGGGCTGGAAGCTGAGTGGGTGCACTCAAAAGAAGTGACCAATGTCAGGGGTGCCTGAGAAAGAGTCGGGCTGGGGGAGGGGAGCACTTCGGGAAGGAGCCTCAGGGTGCAGGAGGAAAAGGGGTCAAGGTTGGAGGCTTTTGTGCGGGAGAGGGTCTTAGGCTGGGGCAGAGACTTGGGGTCACTGGATGGAGAGTGCTGGGTCCGAGTTGGGTGGGGCCTGGCCCAGACGGAGATCTTAGCACTGAATCCTCTGCCTCCCATTCCATCTCCCGTCCCCTCTTCTCTCCCCTCCGAAGAATGAGCACCCCCCTCCAGCCTGCATTCCTCTTTGAGCAGGTTGCTTTTGAGAATTTTAAACATACCCTCTTATTTCGAGGCAGCGAACCTCAGCAGTTCCGGCTTTGCTGTTAGCTCTTTTGTCTTTGTTCCCGGGACTCAGGGGCTGTGTTGCTGCTGGCTTCCTGGGGATGGCAAGGATGCAGGGGTGGGGGTGGGCACATCAGTGGGTGGAAGGAGTGGGTGGTGGTGAGCCTGTATCCCACGGGGATGGTGGGCTGGGGCTTGTTGGTTCAAAGAAACTGAGAAGTCAGACTTGGGGGAAGGGGTGGGTAGGCCTAGAAGAAAAACCGAAAGGAGACCCTGAGATCTGCTTGAAGTTGGGACTCTAAAAGCATGTGTATGTGTTTGGTGGTGGAGAGGACAGAAGTGCCTAGAAATGTCAGAGTCGAGGAGGGAACAGGGTTGGGCCAGGCCAGGCCCTTTCAAAATTAAGGCTGGTCTAGACCGATTCCCTCAGTATCTCCCCAGCCTCCTTCCCTACCGTGTACAATGCAGGGGATTATACTGAGGGGTGGGGCCGCCCGAGTGGCCGTCTGGCCCGCTGCACATATAAAGGTGCTATAGAAATGTGTAGTCATTCAAAGTCCCAGGGCGGGCAGACAGGCAGGCAGGCAGGCAGGCAGGCGGGCGGGCGGGCGGGCCTGGGGAGGCTCTGCATCTGCAGTTGCCTGGGAAGAATAAAGGGGGGAAGAGGCGAGCACTGATTTACAGTGGTTCAGTGCAGCTTCAAAAAAAAAGGGGGAAAAAGCAACGGGACTTCTGGCTCAGAGTACTGCTTTGCATCTCGTCTTGCATAAATTTGCATACTGAGTTCAAAGTCGTAAAATAGACTAGGGAAATGAGTGGGATCTACTGTCACTGATTGTTAACACCACTACCTTCCACCTCCCTTCCCCCCATCTGGACAGGACTCCCAGCGCTAGTTCTGCTAAGCAGTGCTGCCTGAGTCACCAGTCACCACTGTTCATGAAAGAAGGAGATGGGGAAGCGCCTGTCTAGGAGACCAAGCAGGGTGTGGCAGTGTGCACCCTGGCCTTGGAGGCAGGGCCTCTCTGAAGGGTGTGGCCGGACAGATTCTGGACCAGTGAGGCAAGTGGCGTGCTTTCTGACGCCTGGGGCTGCCATTGCCCATGGTGGACTGCAGTTTGAGGAAGCTGCGGAATCCGGGTCTTTGTTTGAAATTTCCCTACTCGCCTTCCATATACGCCCCAAACATTTACTGCGATAGGTCCCTTTGTGTGGTCATAATGACCCACTTCTTTAGACGAGATATTTGAGGAAGGTTTGAGAACAGAAAAATTCTATGTAACAATGTTAAGGAATCTGAGAAAAATGGGGCACAGGAATCTCTGGGTTAGAATAGGTAGTAGAGCCTGGAAGCAGAGAAAAACCCATCTGTTGTATTCCCGAGGGTCTGTCTACACAATGGCTCTTGGCCAAGTGGACTATTGAGTTTCCTGTCAGGCAGAGGGAAGAGGGAGGCTTAGATAGTACTCACTGTTGGCCTACTTCAGTACTGAGCTTTAAGACTTTCAGGCAAATCATTCCTTCAGGCTCGGGGCTGGAAATGAGTTCTATAAAAATGCCATGGGGCCGGGCGTGGTGACTCACGCCTGTAATCCCAGCACTTTGGGAGGCCGAGGCAGGTGGATCACTAGGTCAGGAGTTCGGAGACCAGCCTGGCCAGTATAGTGAAACCCCTTCTCTACTACAAGTAAATAGAAAAATTACCTGGGCATGGTGGAGCATGCCTGTAGTCCCAGCTGCTTGGGAGGCTGAGGCAGGAGAATTGCTTGAACCTGGGAGGCGGAGGTTGCAGTGAGCTGGGATTGCACTGCTGCTCTCCAGCCTGGGCGACAGAGCAAAAAAACTCCATCTCAAAAAAAAAAAAAAAAAAAAAAAAATGCCACAGGTTGGCTAGGCGCGGTGGCTCACGCCTGTAATTCCAGCACTTAGGGAGGCTGAGGTGGGCGGATCACCTGAGGTCAGGAATTCAAGACCAGCTTGGTCAATATGGTGAAACCCTGTCTCTAATAAAAATGCAACAATTAGCTGGGCATGGTGGCACGTGCCTGTAGTCCCAGCTGCTCGGGACTCTGAGGTAGGAGAATCGCTTGAACCCGGGAGATGGCGGTTGTGGTGAGCTGAGATGGCACCACTCCACTCCAGCCTGGGCAACAAGAGTGAAACTCCATCTCAAAAAAAAAAAAAAAAAAAAAAAAAAAAGCAAAAGCCATGGGTTACCCGAAAGTAGGAGCATATCCATTCACTCATTATCTGACCTTTGAGAGCTGACTTGGAGAGAACTGTTCTACAGTCATCAGGTGGCTTCCAGTTGGTTCTCGGCTGGGCTGTTCATTCCCATAGAAAATGGGAGGTACAACTGTTCAATTTTTTTTTTTTTTTTTTGAGATGGAGTCTCGCTCTGTTGCCCAGACTTGAGTGCAGTGGCACGATCTCGGCTCACTGTAGCCTCCACCTCCTAGGTTCAAGCGATTCTCCTGCCTCAGCCTCCCGAGTAGCTGGGAATTCACGTGTGCATCACCACACACAGCTAACATTTTTGTATTTTTAGTAGAGGCAGGGTTTCACCATGTTGGCCAGGTTGGTCTCAAACTCCTGAACCTCAAGTGATCTGCCTGCC